GAACAGAAATGGGGATAAGATAATTGGTTGAATTCAGACCTTCAGTTGGGTGGGTAAGTAAACAAATGCAATTATCTATTTACCTTATTTGTTTATCTTAAGTAGCAAACTAGCTTGTGTGATCACACATTTTATAGTTTTTGAAGTAAAAGTTAGGATTTGTTTGGATTTTTGTTTGAATGGATTTTTCAATATTTTGTAGAGCCGAAGAGAATTTTAGCACCCGCGGTTAATTAGAGTTGATTAAAGTTCATTCTAATGCAGTGTATATTCATTCTAATGTGGAATTCCTCTTTATTGTCAAACTAGCTTGTGTGGAAGTCACATATATCTCGGTATTATGGCCACTTTTTAAACCCTGGGTTCAAAATTCCTGCATCTGCCTTTGGTAGTGGCGATTGTTGATGATAGCACTTAGATGTGGTGTTATGTATTTTAGGTACGTAATTGAACTTTGATTTTGGCAGCAATGATAAAACGAAAATAATACTTTAGGAATAAAAATCAAGGTACTATAAAATGGGAATTACAAAACTAAATGAATAACTAGAGTAGTTTCCACATAATTTTGTTACAAGATCATAAGCTCTTCTTTGACCCCATTTCTTAAAATTCGTCTTTCCTCAAGTTTATTTCAATCAAATGTTTTATTGGATCCACAACTTTTATCAATTTTACAATCACACACTTCACCAAAATTTTCTCAAAATCTACTATAAATTTAATTTTATACAAACAAAAATGAGCAATTTTCAATTCGGGACATGAAGGCTCATATGTTCTTTCACTTTCAAGGACATAGTGGCCACAACACCTTTAAATGCAGGTGGTGTATAGTTACTATGTCTGTTTGACACCCATTAATTTATTCTATGGTTGACTACATGATTATTTTCAATGATACAATAAAATATTTTACACGTATACCAATAATTTTTTCCTACCTTTTAATCACAGATTTTCTTAAAAATCATTATTCAATTTTCTTTTTCTCTACAATAATAGTTGTCAAACCAACTCTAGGATTACTGTGCCAAAATTTATTACATATAGATGTAACATCAAAACTTACTACAATAGCCTAGTCATTCTTGATTTATTATACATGACCATCGTGAAAGTACTTCGAGCATTTGTCTTTTTGCATTTTAATAGACTTGAAAATCCTCGAGTCGAATCCTCTTTATCGCATGGCAATCACGTATGGCCTTGATTGAAAAATCCAAGTTATTTTCCCTTGAAAGTGAAGTTTATTTTCAACATTAATAATTCGTTTCTTAAGATCTCCTTCGCGAATATTGGTGTGAAAACATTACGAAGTTTTTGTAATAAGAATTATGTAATAAATAAAAATGATATCCAAACAACCATGTCATGTATATATTGAATATAATTGATTATTTTTGAGACAACAATGCTACTCCTACACACTTGGGTTACAAAGTCAGATAAAAAAGTGACGTGGACGGCCAGGATTAAAACGCAAGCGACGGCTGGGATTGAATCCTAAAACACTTGCAAACCAATTAGGCGCCATACATAAAAATCCGTCCTATCTGATTTCTCTCTCTCTCTCTCCCCCCTATTATTCTTCCTTCCCCATTTCTCTCTGACCTTCATTCTCACTCTCCCCCATTATTCTTCATCAATTACTCTCTCCTAGAATGGAACCGTCCCTAAAGCAGTAACATCTGGCAGTCGGCACCGGCATTTACCGCACCTCCCTCCGGCGTCACTATATATTTAGATACGGTGAGAGTTCGAATAAATTACCTCCCCGCATTCAATTTAGCTGTCGAGCCCACTAACTTCACAAAGTTAGATCCGATGAAACTTTAGAGGTTTGGTTTATTGATCTTTATTGTTTGGGTTTTGTTCGATTTGTAGAGAAATGCTGTGAAATGCAAAATGGGTTATGTGGTTGCTATAAATTCAGTGTTTGGGTTGCTATCAGATCGTTTATTGTATTAAAGGGCTGCTGGGCTGTGAAACCACGAGTTGTTATGCTGGTGTGGTGTTCTATGTCTAAGCTGGAGTTTAGACCTAGGATTTGAGCTTTTCTGAAGTTTTAAATCTGGAATTTATGCTACAATTACTATTCGATTTTCATGTTTGTTGGTTTATTTTACTGGGTTCGATTCAGCAAAATAGTTTTTGTTTATTTTACTGGGTTCAATTAAGATAGTTTTTTGTTTATTTTACTGCTGAAAATGTGGACAATCTTGTGAAAACCGAGTATTGCATTATGCTGAAGAATGAAAATTTTTGTTTATTTGCTGCTAATCTAAATACATGTATGTCAAGTTTGTGTGATTTTGCTTCATTTTCCAAAACGCCATGAACAAAAGACAAGTAATAGTATTTGTAATGCAGTTCTTGAAGGCAATATATATTATGTGGATTGCCTGTGTAATTTGGAATGCAGTTCTTCTAGACTATAATAATCATTGTGTGTGTTTATGTATCATGTTAATGCTTTATAGACATCTCATTAGAATTTATTATAGTTCATGCTTAAAGTATTGATAATTTCATATTCATTGTTACGACAGAATGCCAGGAAAGAACTCAGGAATTTGCCATGGCTGTAATGGTGTTGGGCACTTCTTTGATGATTGTCCGATAAAACGTCGATGCCCAGATTGTGCGAGAGGATTTCAGAAGTTTTTTTGTGGTGGAAAAGGAAACTCGTAACAAAGGAAAATTCTTCAAATGTTGCAGTCAGAAGTGCGGTTTTTGGGATTGGTACAAACCAGGAGAAGCAATCGGCGAATCCAGTGACGCTAGTGTTACGTTGGCTAAACCAGCGACATTGAAAGAAGTGGATGATTTGTCTCAAACATTTGAATCTCAAGTGCGGCTTAATGACGCCGAGGAACTTTTGAGTTCTGTAAACGTGAACTTTACCGTCCGCCGTTGAAAACCACCTGCTGAACGAGATAATAAGGGGAAGGACAAGGCATAGTGTAGTTGGTTAAGTCATGTAATGTTTTTTTTTGGTGATGTAGTATGTTCTGTAATATGTATATTATTTGGTGATGTAGTATTTGGAAGCTTTATTCTGATAGAAATATGTCTATGGTGTAATGGAACATTCCATATTTCTGTTGTTGTTCGAGTAGTTATTAATCTGCATATTTGAGGCTCATTTAACGTGCCATAAAAGACAGGAAATACCCAAAACATGACTTCGGTTCATTGAAAATGGAACATTCCATATTAGTCTTGTAGGAATTTTCCATCCAAACTCACACGATCCACGAGTTCATTGAAAATGGGAGCTATTTGGCAAGCTTGTTTCCAGTGACTTTCAGGAAATGGCATAGGTAACAAAGAAAATGGTGCATGAATCATGCCCACACCAGGCACTCTTCCTGATCTCTGCAAGTTTGAAAAGCTGGAGACTAAACTACTAGAAGACTAAACTACTAGAATAATGACTAACATACTATTTATTCAATGCGTCACCATCCATTAAAAAAATTCATTTTTGACCTACCCATTTAAGAGGAATTTCAACTTTAAATCAAACGTTTATAACATTGAAAATTCATCACTACTATGAAACAAATCAATTTGACACCAGGGTATCTATTGATCAAACTTCAGAAACAAAAAGAATATTATCAAAATCCGTGCTTTACCATTCAGTTCTGACATTCACCAAAATAATAGAAGTTGTAAATCATGCAAAATATAAATACTACTTTACCCACTGCTCGTTAATCAAACAATAGAAACAAGAACAACATACCACAGAAAAATGAAGGAAATTTTCATAAAAGGAGGAGATGAAATGAAGGAAATTTTCAATTTCAATTGAGTAAATTTCACTAATGGGAACTGAATTTTGCACTACAAAGCGTGGTCTCATGAAACAAATAAAAGTTCAGAGGTCGCTTTTTTTGTAGCTTCCCAACACTGATATTTCCTTCAACACAGAAAATGAGTCGCTTTTTTTGGGCAGGCTTAATATCCGAATCAGAGTTGTTCTCCTTCATCTCTTCATCCACGCTATCCTTGAGGAAGGTAGTTATACTTTCTGCATGATTTCTATATATGATTCCAACCAAACTTTGTAAAAACTCAACCATTTTCTGACTAGATGTCTCAAAAAACTACAGCAAGAAATGAATCCTCATTATAAAATGGCCATGGAGAAAGCACAAATAAGTACATTGTACATTTGCATTGATTTAACCTTTGATGGTTGCTAATTTATCTCTCAAGGCAAGCACGTCAACCAACATATATTAATTAAAAACTGCAAAAATGAGAGAAACATTTGCTAAGCTATAATAAAGTATCTAGATGAAGCCTCAAAATGATTACATTTTCCTCTCGTGCAAAATAAACCTAATGGAACTAATATTCAAGCATGTACAAGTTTTGTCCATAATAACATGCGAGCATGATATAAAATTTCTGATACAAAATATAAAATCCTACATTATGTCCAGTCCAGATAATTAGAGAGACTTGCATCGATGCAGCTATAATGCTATATGGCTCAGAAGTTTGTGGTTTTACCTTTACAGCAGCAACTTGGAGTAGGTACAAATCTCCCTTATCATTCACAAAAGTCACTATCATCAGATTCCAGTTATCAGTTTGCTGAAAACTGGCTTTCGACATGCATAGGAAAAGGCAACGGGCTGAAGGTTGGACTATCCAACTGGGTCGAACCAGATGCCTCCTGAAGTGGCATTCGAGCCTGGCTTTGGACAGATGTTTGAGTCTGTAACAAAGTGTCAAGCAATCAATCAAGAAGCCCATAGCATTGTTGTTTTAAAAAATCACATCAATTAAAAACGAACATTATACCGTCAAATTGGGGATATTACTATGCTTCGGCATTGGACTCTTTCCTTTTGTTTGGTTCGACCGTGCCTGCATGTGCACCATAACTATCGGTAATTACTATAGAACAGAAGCTGGATACAAGAGTCACATTGGAATATACCTTTGATTTACTCGATTTTGCCTCCAACGGGCCTTTTCTACGTCCTCTTTGATGCTTTCGGATCCCTTATAATCGCGCTTCCAATTTTTTCAGATGGAATACACTGTGAAGTGCTTAAATTACCATCGAACTTTGTGGAACTAAGTTCTTTCTTCTGAAGTTGTATCCAATCCATGATCACACCATACTTCCCTTCGCTGTCTGCTACGAGGTTTGCCACCTCTGCAAACGAATGACACATATCGTCATACCTCATCTGTGCTGGAGTGGTAACCAAACCATCATAGTTAACGGAAACTCTCGTGTGTGCCCTGCTAACATCTTTCCTCCACCTCCGCAAAATGTACCGATCCGGCACGACAGTAAAGTCATTTTGTATCAAAACTGCAATGGCATGGCTACACAATATTCCCCGAAACTCGAACAAGTGACAACTACAATTTACTTCACATTTCTCTCTATTAAACCACACCAGAAATAATGTTTTCTTTCGTCGCTCGCGCACAGACTACGTCTTCAAGTACCTCATACTTCGTCCCCATATGTCCCTTTACTGCAGATATGAGATCGCAATACATTTTACCCATGAACTCAGTTTGAACCTTTCTGAACTTCGAAATGGTATAGCATGACTGATATTGCTTCTCAATTTCGTATGTTGTTGCACACGGTAAGACTTGAGAGAATGACTTAAAATCAACAATAAACTCCTTTTCAACCTTATTCCATAGTGCTCGTTCATACTGCTCGACGAACTGTTTCAATGATGTCTTTGCGTGTACATAACCATCAAAGAAGGCATTCATACTTTCACTTCGTTGTATCGTTGACATGCCAGCCCAAAAGGTTGTTCTCAGGAAATAGGGCACCCAACGAACTCTATTCTCGTACAATCCGGACAACCAAACGTTATCATGCAAGTTATACATTTTGATCATATCTCTCCAACCTTCCTCAAATTCTTCGATAGACTGCGAATCATATACCAGTACATGTACAGTCGAGAATATCGAAGCTTTATTCACGCGGTATCCAAATTTTTCTGGCATCTTCTTCAAAATATGCCACATGCACCACCTATGTTTTGTATTTGGGAAAACTATTTCAATTGCATTCTGCATGGCTCTATCTTGATATGTAATTATTCCATGTGGAGCCTTGTCACCCATGCACTTAAGCCATGTTTTGAACAACCAGACAAAGGTATTAGTGTCTTCATTCGATATCAAACCACAACCCAACAATGTCGATTGCCCATGATGATTAACGCCAACAAACGGGGCGAAGGGCATGTCATACTTATTCGTAAGATAAGTTGTATCGAACGTGACGACATCCCCGAACTCTTTATATGTTTGCCTATACCGATTGTCTCCCCAAAAGACATTCTTCAACCGTGAATCATCATCCAAGTCAATACTAAAGAAAAATCTCGAGCATTTTGCTTGCATTTCAGAAAAGTAAGACTATATTGCAGCTGCATCACCCTCACCAAGTCTGAGTCATCTCACTTGTTCAATGTAGTTACGGCAATCCTTCTCAACACACGTCATATTCTCGTAACCACATGCTTCAACGACTACAGAGTTAAAACTTTTATGCAACGGTATTCCTGCTATGTCATTCACTTCAAGCTTCTTTTCACGTGGGCACTCAACACTCGGTTGTACCGATATAACCTCGACTTAGTAGGACTTGTCTCATGGTTGTGCTCGAGGTGGATAGTGTTAAGTTTCCAGTAACCATGGATATCTAAAGATACAGATATTATAGCTTTACATCCTATCTGAGTTGTTGGCTGCGGTTTCAGAGAAGTGCTTGAATTACTGGTTTTTCGTCCCTCACGACTGCATGTGAGAGTAACAAATTTCAAAACCCCAGCATCATTCCTCGCTGAAGTCCTCTTCCTAATCGAAAATCCCACGGCATAAGCATATCTCGCATAAAACTCATACTTCTTTTTCATCCTTGAACTTCATGCCAACCTCAGGCATAGTCAAACTATGTCCTACTTCCGTGTCACCTTCCACAACATTCACATTGTCCTCGACATTATCATTTTCAGGTTCTGTGCACAAAATTTCTTCCATATTCTCTTCGCCTGTGAAACAAGAACACAGCCATACTTTTTTAATACACGATATCAGGAGGCCTACAAACTTAAGTCAGTATATGTTTTCATCATGCAAAATCAAATTTACATTTTCATGATAAACTGAATCAACATACTTCTCAAATTTTCAAGATTTTTCATATACTGATATATATATATATATAGATGAAGCAGCTTGCGACCCACATCGTCACTTCAAACAGTCTGAAGGTCAGATGAAAAATATACGTATCATTCAAACCATATGCCTTGAAACTCAAACAAATGGTGAAAAAGGTAAAGATTTCATATCCTAAATAGATAGCATATTTTTTAAAAGGGGAAAACTTCATATAATTAACATCAATGATGATAATTCAAAAAATAATAATAAATATCAATGAATGATGAAAATTCCAGATTTCGATTTTCTTTCTGTCTAAAAAATGCAAGCACATTGTTACAAATCTAGAATGAACTGTACATACCAACAAAGCCAGCCAACTAAGAAGGCTTAAACCACACTAAAAACGAGCTTTCCCTAAACCACAGATCAACAAAGTGTAGTGAGAAACTATGACCCAAACATTGAACAAAAAAAAAACCAACAAATTACTCCACGAGCCAAACTTCGACAGAACGAAAACTGAGAAATATTAGAAGCAAAAAATTGATACATACCCATTCAAATTTTTTACCAGGACAACAAGACTCTTTTCATTCTCTTTTCTCTGAGTACTCTCTGGCTGCATTTACCGACACTTGTTCAATAATTATTTTACGTCGACAATGAAGCAGAAAGCTGGGATTGAAAACGTGCAGTGATAAAACTCGGGGAGGGTAACAGAAAATAATGACTGAATACGTCCAGTGATAAAGCTCGGGGAGGGCAAGAGAAAAGAATGAGAACCTTCTTTCACAGATACAATCTCGCACCCTCGTGCTACTGTCGGAGATAGAGCTCATACTACTGCAATCTCGACCTACTGGAGGAAATGGTGGTCGCAGACAATACCCCGTTCCCGGTCTTTTCTCTGAGTCCTCTCTCCATTGTTTTGATTGAGATTGAAGGCCGAAAGAAGAGAGATTTTATGTATGGCGCCTAATTGGTTTGCAAGTGTTTTAGGATTCAATCCTAGCCGTCGCTTGCATTTTAATCCTGACGTCTACGTTACTTTGTTATCTGACTTTGTAACCCAAGTGTGTAGGAGTAGCATTATTGTTTTTGAAAAGTGTCCAATACTTCTATATTTATAGACAATATTAATTCCTAGTCCCATTAATATAAGGAAACTAAAATAAATCCTAATATAAAAGAAATTAAAAATTCTATTCTAAACAAGAAATAAGAATAAAAAGATAAACATATTACAATTGGATACTTTATTATAATTATCTAACTTTTTATCCTATTTACAATAGGACTGTCCTAAATCAATCTCTCCCATTTGAAAAAAAAAACTTGTCCTCGAGTTTTGTTGAAGAATAGAGGTATTGATAACTTGTGTAATTTTGAACTTGGCTGGGACTTGAGTAAATTTTCTAGTCACATGTTGTCGTGTGCTATACTTGTTGAAATGACTAACATTCATAGTAATTAAAGTCTGTAAATTCTTGTCAACTTGCTTCTTCATGAGCTCGTGATTCCTTTCAAAACTCAACACGGTCAGTATCTACGTGATGTTGTGAAGCGTTTCGTCGATCCTCTAGATTCGTTGTTCGAGTTTGTTGAGCCTCCGTTCTTCGTCGAAGGTTCGATTACCACTAGGAGCATTGTCAGCCATTAGATTAAGGCAATTTTCTTGTTGTGATGCCAATTTTGGAGTGAAAGCGTTATGAAATTATTGTAATAAATAAAAATGATATTTGAATAATCATATCATTTATATATTGAATAATAATTGATTTTTTGTTGAAAAATGTACAATACCTCTATACTTATTGGCAATATTATTCTCTAATCCCATTAATATAAGGAAACTAAAATAAGTCATAATTTAAAAGAAATTAAAAATCCTATTCTAAACAATAAATAAGAATAAAAAGATAAACCTATTACTACTAAATATTTTATTATAATTATCTAATTTTTATCGTATTTACAGGAGGATTGACCTACATCAAATATACCGACAGAAAGGACAACAAAACAAGGGGGTGGATGGGTAAAAAACAGAAAGATATTGACCATAATTCAAAGATAGAATCGAAGTTGAACCAACGTGTCTTTAGCCCATGTTTGAATCTCATTAAGTTACATTCCGTTTTTCTTTTCTTTTTTTATTTTTAATCACACAATCTTCTATAAAATAATATTACACGTAAATCGAAAATTTTTCCTTCTTTTTCAACCACTCATTTTTCAAAAAAATACCATTCCACCGATTTTTATTTCCAAAACATTGGGGCCAAACGACTGCTTAGCAATATTCCCAACAAGTTGGCCCTTAGTCCCCCCTTTAAAAGCAGCTATTAAACAAGAGGGATAGTGACCCTGAGCGCTTGTTTGAGTCCAATTCTCTTGATAAGAATGAATTTTTGAATAGTGTATTGATGAAAAATATGTGATTAAAAAATAAGAAAATTTTTTAGATTTACATGTAATATTATTATATTGAAAAATGTGTGATTGAAATGATTTCAAAACACTGTTTAAAAATTTATTTTTTTCCAAAAAAGAGGATCAAATAGGGGCTTAGTATACCATTATTATAACACGACATCTTGACAATTCTTAAGAAGTGCTATTTAAAAATTAATGTTAAGTTAAACCAACAAGAGCGAGTCCAAGCATGCAAGCAAGAAAATCCTATTGGTGATGATTTTTTTTCGTAGTAACTTTTCTTTTGTTCTAAATTTTAGAAATAACAATAAGGTTTTAAACTACACAATTTTGTGATTTTTTGCTTGCTAAACTGGTTGAACCCAATTTTTTAGGCGAATAGATTTTGTAGAAATGATTTTTTGGGAAATATATAGTTACAAAGTAAGAAAAACTTTTGAAATATTTTTATTGAAAAAATATATAATTAAAAATAAATATGAGAAAAAATATTTTTTTTAAAATAACATTCAAAGAGACCTCAATTACAAACTTTAGCCCTTGTTTGATCCCCATTTTGGGGGAAATAATAAATTTTAAATAGTAGATTGATAGAAAATGTGTGATTAAATAAAGAAAAATTTGGATTTGTGTATAATATTATTTTATTTAAAAATGTGATTAAAATTAAATTTTGAAAAAATGAATTTTTAGAAGAATGATAATCAAACAAGAGCTTAATTTATAATCAAAATATCAATGCCTGAAAATACAAAGATATTTTAGGATGAAATATTTTTCCGCTGATTCAAAGATAAGCAAGTTTGAAATTCGTAGATTTCTGCAAACGGTCGAAAATTCAAAAAAGTTCAAAAACTGGGCGGGTTGAAATTTCACATGCAGCAAAACTGAATTAAAAAAGTAAAAATCCCTCCCCCCTCAATGAACTCTCTCTCTTCCAAATTTGAAAAGCTCCGCTCTGCCATCCCCTCCGCGCCTACTATTTCCTCTCTCTCTCTCTCTCTCTCTCTCTCTCTCTCTCTCTCTCTCTGTATATATACACGGATACATATTCACTCTTCCACCTTATCACTCTCCCAACATACACACAGAGATACGTTGTGAAGGATAAAGCGTAAGCTCCGAATCGAAGCTTATTCCGAGCTTTTCTCTGGGTTACGTCTCCATTGAAATCTTGCGAGGAAGTAAGCTCGATTTTCATCCCCTTTTACCATGCACGCATAATTAATTTTGGGCATCTGTAAAAGTCAAATTTGAATCTGGATTATTCTTTCTCCAAGTTGCATTGCATCTGTTGTAGATGTGAAACATCTAACCTTTAAAATTTATAGAATGTAATCAAGTTTTAGGTTAAGAAGTATATTCCCAATTGCCCAAATTTTGGATTTAGCTGGATCTGCTTAATATTTATATTTCCTTGGAAATGCCCTAGATTATATTTTACTCGACAGACTGAACTCCTATTTTATAGATAACAATACTCGTATTTGATTATTTTTCTTAACTTTCTGTGCATATTTTGGAAATGGATGTTAACTGCTTGATTGTTTTACTCAGATAATGGAGTCACTGCCAGATGCACTAGTGCAATACATTTTGTCCCACATGAATAATGCTAAAGATGTGGCCTCTTGCATCTGTGTCTCCAAGAGGTGGAAGGATTCAGTACCTTATCTGAGAAGCCTATTTTTCCCTCGAAATCTTCTTGACAATCTTACCAATGGAGATACTCCTGATGCAATCGTGAGGCAAATGATTTCTTCAATTGTTGAATTAGAGGAACTTGTTGTCTATTGTCCATTTTCCAGTGCTGGGCTTGGATCATGGTTGTCAATAACAGGAACGTCCTTGAAGAACCTTGAGCTTCGAATGGATAATATAATCCCACACCATAATTGTACTGAAATCCCTTCAAAGTTGGATCGCATTGGATCTGCGAGTAATTTGGAGTCCCTTAAGCTTTGGGGTGTGCTAATGATTGATTCGCCCCAATGGGATGTTTTCCTTAGGCTAAGAAATCTTGAAATAGTTGGTGCTAGACTGAAGGACACTGCGCTGTCTGATGCACTTTTTGCCTGTCCTAATTTGACTCATCTGTTGCTTCTTGGCTGTGAGGGTTTAAAGTCTGTTTCAATTGAGCTTCCTAATCTGGAGCATTGTAAGCTTGATTTTTATGGAAATGGTAACTGCTCGCTATTTCTCAATTCACCAAAACTTGAATCCCTTGAAGTACAAGGTTGTAGTTTGATCAGAGTCCACGAAACTCAATGCTTGAAAAACCTCTCAATTGCCAACAATTCAGGTGTTTTATGAACGCTTTTACACTCTCCTTTACTTTCCTTTCAGTGTCTGATACTTAAATTTGAGTTTTTTGTTCTTGACAATCTTTTGACCGTCAAATGACAGGGCGCGTTTATATGGTGGATTTTGGAAAACTTGTGGCACTGGAGTCCTTGGCCATGAGAGGAGTACAGTGGTGCTGGGATGCCATAAGCAAAATGCTTCAGATGGCTAGTGAAGTGAAGCAACTATATATGAAAGTGGAATTCACTGGGGATTTCGAGGAACTTATGCCCTTTCCAGAGATTGATTTTGTTGACTTCTTTAACAGCCACCCCAAGCTGCAAACATTTGACATACATGGTGCCATGTTTGCTGCTCTTTGCCAAAAGAACAGCTTAAAAAATGTGAGTTCATTGCGTATATGTGTTATCTTCAGGGTAAAAATGCGTCGCTTGTCACCAAACTTTTAGCAAAATTGTTAAATCCATCACTTAAACTTTGTTTTAACTTGGTCACTTTATCTATGCCCATTAGTTATTTGCCAATTAGGGTGTCAAATAATGGTCATGACGAAATGACCAAAATTCGACAAATGGTTAAGTTCAACGACCAACTTAACAAAATGAAGTTCAATTGCCAACATGAGAATTTGCTTAAAGTTCAGTGACCACTAGTTTTTTACCCCCAATCTTTTATTAAACGGTTATTCTAACTATTTGTGCTTGGTCACTATTTAGAAGAAACCAGAACATCAAGATTTGTGAACCTTGTTTGAATCCTGGAACTGAACAAAAGAAAGTTGTTCAAACAATAGTGATGTTGAGTTTTTCGATCTTAGAATTTACCCATGAAATTGTGCTCTTTTTGCAGGTTGATTCAAGATTTTCAATTCCGTGTCTTGAGAAAGTTATGATTACAGTGAGATCGCCATTGAATGCTGAACAAAAGATGAATACTTTGGAATCTTTAGTAAACTATGCCAGGAATTTAAAGAAGATGACAATAAAGATTCTTCAGATGAAGAGTAGCCATAGCAGTGCAGATGATTTCTTTGAAGAAATTTGCAGATTTAGATACATGAATCGTAAGATTGTTTCGATTGAATAGTCATTGTGATTTCTCTTACTCCATTTTTTCATGGTAAATCATAAATCCATGGATTTTCAAAGCGGATTATGTTCCGATGTTCTACTATGATTTTCACATCAACTATCAAGTGACACATTCATAATGAACTAATTTCCTAGTTTTGAAAATGCATCTCTGTTAATTATCCTATTATTCGCTCTTTGCTTATAGAACTTGATGTTCTATGGGTAAAACTCGTCAAGGGCTATAGTCTGTAAAGCCTATGTTAGAGATGGACCCACACGAGACAAGGTATCAAGTTGTATTTGCAATGCGTAGAGTGTTCCTGAGCTAGAAATCCGTACTTGACATCCATGATAGGAACAATCAATGACCTTGGAAGAATACTATTTTGATTTGAATTAATCTAGTGATACATAATGGAATGTACACTCTCTCACATGAAATGTGGGGTCCACCCGAATAAGTAACGTGGGGAGGGGTTGTACACTCTTAAGTACATCCTTATATACCACTAGCACCACCGAATTTGTTTTAGACTATTGATTTCAACTAACAACAGAGTTATGATTGGTTTATAGCTACCAACACCTCACATGGAGGGTGGGTTAATTTTTTGACATTGTTTATTTATGTGGGTTCATACTTTTGTGAGTTTTCTGTAAGAATATTTATGTACACCAATAATTAAATAGAGAAAACATTAGATTGATATTTTTCAAGTTATAATCCACCTAACAAAACGAACCGATAATATGCTCATCATTATACATTTATTCGAGAGCGAAAAGGACAAGACAAAACCAGAAACTATAGTATTATCTCTTTAATAATCTTAATCTAAAGAAACAAATAACAATTTTCTCATCATCTCAAACGATAGACGGACGTCACATTTACTAATTTCATATCAAAATTTCATCGTGGATGATAGAAAAGGGAACAAAAGATTGAAAATTTCATCCCGTAGTACAGATTATAATTTAGATTAGACAAACCCTAAATTAGCTTCTTCTTTTGGAAGTACTGCTTTAAGTATGAAAGCTGGGCAATTGAAACCAGAATGCAGATTCCCAAGGACATAATACTGAACCATGCCACCCGAGCATTTGTCGCTTCGCTCACGATTCGCATCTCGGCTTCTCTGTGAGGAGAAATACACAAACAAAGCATCCACTGAGCTCATATTATGACTAGGAAATCAACTATATTTGGTTGAACCAAGGAAAAGAGAATGATATGAATACTTGAGCAATATTAGAATCTTGAAGGAAGAAGAATAAGCAACACAATTTAATAACACCACATTAAGAGAGGAAGAAATTATCACACCTGCTCTTAAGATACAAAAGATTTTCATGAATGGCCTCCACAGCTCCTTCAAGCTTTCTCAGCTCAAGTTCAACACCCTACTAGAGGCATTAAATAAGTTAATAATTTCTAGAGCACCAGAGCTTCAAATTTCACCTACTGCATTAATCCAACGTTTTGTTCTCGTAAAGAAGATACAAATGAATTTTCGCCTGAAAACATAATATCATGTAAGGAAGCTAAAAGGGCTTACCTCGATTTTCTCCTTCCTTGCAACTGATTCCCAATCCTTCGCTGCAATTCCTGTTTTCCAGTCAATGTTAACACTTATACCCCCACCTCCTGGATTATGACCGTCAACCCAGAAACATGCCAGATAGTTGCCAGCCTCACTAGTCGTGAATGCAAATTGACCGTGTGTGGAATTTTCGAGGTGATGAAGGTTATTGCCATATGGCGAAGTAACCTACAAGAGCAACAGAAATCACCATTTTAGTTGAACCTGCAGTGAAAGGAAGAGGTCATGCTGAACATGCATCGCAACTCCATCGTTAAAAGTTGCAAGTTCTATTGGGGATTTTGGGGGGGGAGGGGGGGGGGGGGAAATTAGTTTTCTATTAACACAGAAAAAAAAATTTAATACCAAATCCCTCAACTCCATACATAGAAAGAAGAAAGATTAGTAACATACAGAGAGAAGAAGAGGAAGAGAGACTGATCCTAGAATATAACAACAATCTGAAGACTGGAATGACTTTACAAACTCATCCAGTCATGTTGCATCCAATAAAATATAAAATGCTTGTCATAATACGAGTCCCGTTTATTATCATGCCTTTCTGATCAATTGAAATTTAAAAACCAATCATTCAGCTTCCCAGGTGCCTAGGAAGTGCTAGATGCACCCACAATAAACTCAATCAATTAATATCCTGTGAGAACATGTGTGAATGCTACATCAAAGGCTTTTTCTAGCTCATCAGGAATTACAATTCAAACTTCAACAGGATACTGTTAGCCATTACCTTAAACGGGCAGTAAAAAGATCCACAGGCCATAAAGCAATGATAATGAAACAAAATCCCAGATTTTCCGGAATCGAGAAAATTATATTTAAGGCAAGAAACTTTTTCCTCCTTCCCTTTACCCTCTCAGTGCACTTCACAAGAAGTGTATGGAAGAGAATCAACACCCAAAACATGGAAGAAAAGCAAAAATACCATTTCATAAAGCAATCAGGCATCATCTTTACTGAAATTAGTCAGTAACGTTATTCTTAGCTTTAGCATCTGATGCAATTGCGTATCATTCGATTCATACCATGTCAAGTGCCTAGAATTAATATAGAAATAATCCAGAAAGAAAAATAGTTTAGCACAACACATTGAAATTAGCTATGAAGGAGACTAAACCATGTGAATCCTTTCCCTCAGTCTAATAAAAACATGTCTCACAAAAATTTATACACACAGTCCAACTGTCCAAGATTCAAGTGGGAAGATTCTTCACTCTCTTTCTTTCTTTATTTTTATTAAATTACCCCTTTCATAAAATCAAGCTCATTTATAATCACCGTAATTAAACTATAGATATTAACATTCGTCTCTAGCTCGGCAATCTAAGCCATATAATTTTTTTTTCAATAAAGAACCTTTTCAAAACGAATCTCAAAATTCCGTCTTAGTCTCAAAAGTGAAAATTTCTATAGGGCGCTGAATAGATTAAATCAGTTTACTTTAATATTATTAAAAAATCGGGCGTTATATGTTTTGTACATACAAATCAAATAAAATGTATGTGCATTTATAATGAGAAAAAATTGCGCAGTGTATATATATATATATATTTTTATAAAAACCCTAACCTTGGTGGAAATAGTGGGGGTGGGGTGTACATGGTCATCGGAAATGACAACGTAATCGGCCAAAACGACAACGTTATTCTGGATTTCCTCCGAGACACACTTGGTCCCACTGGCCGGCAAATTCAACCATATGGCCCGGCTCCTCTGCAATAGACACAACAAAATTAACAGGAGCCCCGCGCGCACATTAACAACCGTCGCCATCATTTCTTTCACAAAACCCAATGTGGGATTATAGCAGTAATACGTATGTGTATGTGCTTTGGATCTTGAAAAATGGAGTCTCCGTCCAGATCAAACAGATCGAATCCTGCAGTCTTATCGGATTCTGGTTTCCTTTTCTTTTAACTTTGATTTGGTACTACGTGTACTAACAGGAGTCTTCGAATTTGGAAGAATCCTGATAAAATTAATTTCATTGTTAGCCACTGTACTTTGACATAATATTCAATTAGGTCATTCTACTTCAAGTTATGTCGATGGGGTCACTGTACTTTAATAGTTTGTCAATTAGGTCAACAATCTTTAATCCTGTCCCTTTTTTGGTTTTGATAAAAACCAGTTTATAAAAATTTTCAATCCAATGAAATGTGTGATTGAAAATAAATTTTAAGAAATAAAGGACAAATATGGACCACTTTGTTTGTGTTAAGCATTGATGTGATTGTAATAAAATGTCCTAAAGAAATTAATACAATTAAAAGCTCATTGTTCATATTAGACTTGTATAAACAGCCAGCACTTAGTGACGGTTTGGAATAACTTAAAAATGTTGTTAAAAGAGTAAAGTCAAAGTTAACAAATAATTTTAACTATATGTTTATGAGATATACAATTTTTATCAACTTTTCAATCATATATCTTATCAACTTTATCAAGAATTGCTAAAAGTTTTATCAAAAGCTCGATCGTCAACCTCACATTAATTAAGAATAACTCACTTGTTACGACGCACGCTACAAAGATTGGCATCACAAATTCAATCTTGAAAAAAGCTCCCTACACAAGCCCATCCACCCCCCATGTGACAGCCCATGTTCATGCCTTGTGCGAATGGGCCTGTATAGGTAGCACAACTGTTCAATCTTAGGGTACATAATTATAATGTATACACTATAAAAGGTGTTTGACGTCCATTTTGTTTGAAAAATGAATTTTAGAATAGTAGATTGATGGGGAATGTGTGGATGAAAATAAAGAAAAGTTTTTTATTTAAGTATAATATTATTTTAATAAAGAATGTGTGGTTAAAAAAAGAGAAAAATAAATTTTGATAAAAATGGGAATCAAATGGGACCTATATTAGATACGCTGGACAATATAATAATTTTCTTTTGTTCCACAGCAACAAAATGAAGCATGATCATATATCGTTAACGTTCATAATTTTCTTTCAAATCAACCAACTTATATCCTTTATAGCTTAACACAAGTCTTCACCACTTCATTACCAAGCAAGCTCCGGCTCAAAATTAAAGTCTAAAAGTATTGGAAGAGTGAAGTTTATGGACAACAGTAAACGTGAGGACAGGGACCCTCAAATCGCCCTAATTTTTAATTTGATTTAATTTAATTTTTTATTATTGTTTAGTGGGCTACGTTAACATGCCCTAGGACTTGGTTATCCCAATTGTCGCAAATTTGAGCTCGTACCAACGGGCCCAACCCAAAAACTGTTGCCAATATTAAACCCAAATAGAACCGCAATCAGATGAAAGTACATCTGAGCCATTCATTCAGAGTGCGATGAGGATATAGGTGGCCCACACTCACTCTTATACACCTGTAACCTTTCTTTTATCACAAAAACCCTTCGCCCTTTCGGGTGTCCTTCAAATTGTACATTTTCTCACCGAGTCTACACGCAAAGAACCTCAAGTTCTCTGCAAACATGTCTCAGGTACTGTTGCTAAATCTATAATATTGTTCAATTTTGATAATTTTTCTTTTTATTATTTGAAAATAGATCGTGTACTAATCGTGACTTTGATTTTGACGTTTCTTATCTGTGTCCTTCCATTAACGGAAAAAAAAATTCTATTCCAGCTAATATTGGTTATTAAGAACTTCTAAAGCGTTTGATTGATATTGATTTTAGATAATTGATAATCTTAAAGTAAAATCGGTTCAGTTGATTTACTGCGGTGTAATTTAATTTAATTTTTTATTTTTTCAGGATGTAAAAACTCCTCCGGTCTCGACAGATGGTATGCCTTTTTTCTTCGCGTTATCTTTGACGATTTTCTGATATGAAATGATGAAGTTGCTGAATATTAATTCATTATGCATATTCGATCAAGAGTCAGATGATGAACAATACTATTATTACGCTTCTAGGAATTTAATAAGTAATTACAATATGTAATTTGGGAAATTTGGCTCGGTTTTTTGAATTGTTTAGTCCCAATAATGTTTTATTCAAGAGGAACAGCCTTGTTCAAACCTATTTATCTGTTTTGACATGTAAAAAGATATGAACTGGTAGAAATATAGTTCAGATTCAAGTATTATATATATCTGATTACTTGAAAGAAGTCAGCTTGAAATGGTTAGCTAGCAGATGTTTCTTTAATCTGACCAATCATGTGCAATATGTATTTAGATACATACTAAAATTTTTGTTTGTTCGTTTTCCATGCTATAAATTCTTGACGTATTAGTGAAATTACAATAGTTGAATGAAAAGATGTAGAACTGGATTTGGTATCGACATGATAGTGAGGATGCAAGGCTTCGAACAGAGAACTAAAATGGCATGAGAGTTGCTGATTTGATTATACTATTTTTTTTCTTTTAATTAAGTTTATGAATTTAAAGTTACGTGGTGGAACCTAGAACTTCAGGTGCAGGAACATGAGACTCAAAAAATGAAACCCTTCTAGCCAATCTAACTTTTACATTTGATTGTAAATGAAGGGAATAACAAATTTGAAGATTTATTTTGCCTTGTGGTGTTATCTGACTTATCCAATTTTACCACTTTCCATGGGACTGATAGGATTCTTAATGCAGATATGCTTGAAAAATACTTTATTATAAATTTATTCATTTACTTGCTTTGGTGTTATTGTCTTCTAATATGTTTCTTCTTAATAAACTACATATAGTTTAGGACATGCCAATTGGATGACTTAAAAATAAAATAAAATTATGCACTCTCTTTTTGCCTGTTTAATGCTTGTATCAATTTTGTTTTTTCATTATGGGCGTTTTTAGAACTTTTCACTATTTAAATTTTTAAAATATAATTATGAATATTTTCCCAATTCTGAAGAATGTTTGTGTTTGCTCTCAGAAGAGAAGTCCGATGCAGCTCAGAATAAAACTTCTACCGAGTCAAGCTCTGTGGAAACACAGTCAGGTCAGAGAGGAGCAACCCCTGCATCAGTTGGCGGGATGCCAAATCCCTTTGATTTCTCGGCCATGACTGGACTACTTAATGTTTGTCCTTTTCTCCTTTTTGCCCTTTGTTAAATTGAAAATGATTGCATACTAATATTTTTTTTAAATTCATTGCATGCTGATCATGTCACTTCCATTTAAATCTGTTTTGATAAAAAAGCAAACTGTATGAAAATTGAAAAGGTTTATTTATTTCGACTCGTGAGGCTCAGTAATTGCCTGTCTTTCTAACTGTGGAAATTGAAAGATCATGGTCATGTCAAAAGAGTTGAGGGAGTGAAACCTGGATGAATTTAGAAGATTTGTAGTATATCTCTCGAACACGATATTTTGGGCATTCGCAGAACAAGTCCAGAAAAACACACTAGATATATTGTTTCCTAAATTCTATTCTATGTTGTAGGATCCAAGCATCAAGGAATTAGCCGAACAGATAGCAAAAGACCCTTCATTTAATCAGATGGCTGAACAGCTTCAGAAAACCTTTCAAGGTGCTGCTGTTGAAGATGGTATCCCCAACTTTGATACGCAACAATATTATGCAACAATGCAGCAAGTTATGCAAAATCCTCAATTTATGACCATGGCTGAGAGGCTTGGAAGTTCACTAATGCAGGTATTAATGGGGTACAATTGCACTGACTATTGGATAAACTATCACCTTACATAGGCTTAGCATGCTAATTGAATCATTCTCATTTTTTCTACAGGATCCATCCATGTCCAGCATGCTTGAGAGTTTGTCAAATCCGGCTCAAAAAGATCAACTCGAGGAACGAATGGCCCGTATCAAGGAAGATCCTTCATTGAAACCTATTCTGGAAGAGATAGAAAATGGTGGTCCAGCTGCTATGATGAGGTCATTTCTTTTTCTCAGATTCTGTAGTTTGGTACATTTGTGGGTCTGGTGACTTTTGGTATTTTTATCAAGTAAAATATGTTCAACATAAGATGATTGATTCATACGGTGGCATGTGACTGAACACTTAATTTATTGATCCAATTGATTTGCTTTTCTGGTCTGTCCTGATGGTGAACAACATGCTATGAAGGAGTATGGCTGAAAATCACTCTTCAACTTCCTCAAATTATTGCTGACACATGGGCAAGATTACATATCTTAGTAGTTTGGTTGTTTAAATACTATGAAATGAAGATGTGAGGCACCTATATTAAACCTTTGACAAGTAATGATTGTTAACAGTCTCAGAATATTTCGAAATTCTTGTAATTTTTATATAAATTCGTCATATCATATTGGATTTCTAACCCACATGATATTGAATTTCTGACCGTGCTAATATTTTCATCCTTGAACGGCACATTTCTGTGATTTGGCAGTAGTGAGAGTGTTATTTATGTCAATTAGGTACTGGAATGATAAGGATGTTCTCCAGAAGTTGGGTGAAGCAATGGGATTTGCTGTTGGAGGAGAAGCTGCCTCATCTGCCGACAATGCTGCTGGTGAAGACGAAGCA